AATAAATAAAATCTTTAAAAAAAATTAAAAATAAATAAATAAATAACTTAAAATATATAGCAATTTAAAAATCTTACTGTTTACCACTAACATAATTATAGTTAAATGATACAACTTATCCTTACCATAAACAAAACAACGGCTTATATTATAAACTTTTCCCAGGGGGTTAGCATAATTCTCTTTAATACCAAAATTAGAGTTAAGGTTTTATCTCAATTTCTATTAGGTTTCACTTACTTTCTCTTTATTTAGATCCACAAAGTCATTAGCACTGCTCAAAGAGACTGAAAAATCTAAGATTCATAGAACCCATGCTTCCAACACCACTCAGTGCTGCCTCCCATCTTCCCTGAACTCCAGGCTCACATCTTATTCTGGTCCACACCCTGGCCTTGGGGATGGCAGGTTTGCTATTATCCACTGTACCCAGCACCCATCTCTCCTTTTGTCTACGTTCACTCTTGTATCACAAAGCCTAGACATCTAGAAGCTGCATTTCCCAGACTCTCTTCTGCTAGGGTTCTAGATGGGATAAGATTCTGCCACAGAGACACGCTTGTGTAAGATTTGGAGGGTGGAAGAAGTGGAGGCCATTTTCCCTGTGGCAGTGGTAACTGACAGGTGAACCCCAGTCACAGGTGAACTCCGTGTGTTTTTGTAATGGGCACTATTTCTGCACTTTGTTTTCTACCCACCAGCATCGCAAGAGATATTGGCAGAAGTTTCCCGAGATTTCACACATTGCAAAACTGCAGTGAGGTGATCTTGAGTCCCAGCAAGCAGCCTTTTGATGTCCACTCCTACAGACCGTCTAATGATTTTGAAAGCACCAGACTCCCATCACCAAATACCTCCCTTTCTGCTTGAAGTACCTAGAGTGGTTTCAGTTTTCTCTTCTAAGCTCTGATGAATACAGTAGTTTAGGGAGCCAGGAGGGACATGTCCAGCTTTAGCTCTGACCTGCATTCCTCTTGGTCTCCAGCCATTTCAGGGAGCGGCGGTGACGGCTGGCAGGGGGGCTCTGAGGGCACTGTCAGTCTGAGGGTCAGAGAGAAGAATGAGAGGACCACCGTCAAGATCATTATCAACATCCTTGATATTTATTAGGTGCTTACAGAATGCCCAGTGCTTTCTAAGCATCATTGCATTTAATCCCGTAGCCTCCTCATAGTCATGATTCACCACTTAAAATCTGTGCAACCTTCAGGAAGTCACTTAAACTCTCTGGGCATTAATTTCTCCAGCTATGTAAATTGGTACAATCAAAGTTCTATCAATGAGATCATGCATATAAAAGTACTTAGCACAGTGTCCAGCTTGTAGTAAATAGAAACTATTATTGATATCATTATTTATAGTTGAAAGAAGACACTCCTAGTTGTCCCTAGTATCCACTTTCCCCCTTCAACCGGGGCAACTAAACCTCCCTCTTTTGCATATCACTCGGAATGAAGACTACATTTCCCAGCCTCCCTTGCAACTAGGTAGGGCTACATGACTGAGTTCCGGCAAATGAGATTTGAGAAAGTGTCTCCCCTTCCTACTTCCCTTCATACTCTTGCCTGGCATGAGGTTCTGATGAGATGCCGTCTTGGAATATAGCAGAACAACAAGCTAGAAGGAGGTTGAGTCCCAGAATGACATCAGAACTGTTACTGAGTGAGAAATAAACTTCTACCTTGTTTAAGCTACTGTTTGTATCTCTGACACCCATGGCCAAACCTATATCTTAACTAAGAGGTAGTGAGTCACTTCTATTATTATCCCCATTTTATGGACAGAGAAATGGAGCCTCGGAGAGGAAATGTAACTGACTCATGGTAAGTAGGAGGGTCCTAGATTTTGTCTGACACCAAACCTCATGTTCTTAACCACTAGACAACACTGCCCACCCACCCTGCCCCCAGCACGTCCCTTCCTGTACCTGAGCTTGCTGGGGTGTGCATCCCCATGCTCATCTTCAGGTCCAATCCAGCATGCTTGAATACAGCAAGTCCGTCTTTCCCACTGCCTGCTGTGCAGTCAATGTCATATTCTTCCACCACATCCCAGACCTGGGCATTAAGATAGGAACCTGGCTTTGGAGCTTGTATGACCTTTTCAGGGAAGGAGCAATGGTGCACTGAAATAGCTGGCTCAAATAATAATTCTCACACCACCTCCCATTTATTGAGCTCTTATCACCTTCCAATCTCTAGCTGTGTGCTAGCTCCTTGAATCCTTGCAACCATCAAAGTTGCCCATTTACAGCTGAAGAAGCTAAAGCCCCAGTTATTAGACCCTCCAGGCAACCTCCTGGCCCATAGCCCACATATTCTCACCTTCTTCTGTGTGAGCTTGTGTTTGCTGTTCAAGACATAGACAGCCTTGTCCACGGCCACCAACCCCACTGTGGCCTCTTTATCACCTGTCACCTTCACTTCCATGTGGCTGTTAGGCTTCAAAGTCTGGAAGCATCTTTCTTTCTTCAAACCAACCTTCAGCTGAGCCAGGAAAAACAGAGATGTCAGGAAAAGGGGCTCATATGCTACCAAGAGACTTACCCAAGTCTACTTTCAAGTTTATGCTCCTTATGGCTCTGATGGAGCATCCAGGAACTTTACCATGCCAATCCCAACTCCACACATTGCCTGCATATTCGCCACGCCCTAGGGTGAGCTTTTAAGGGCACATCTCCTCTTCTCCCCTGTCCCCAGACTTGGAGCCCTTCAACTTGGACAGACTTTCTGCCCATCCAAGCTTTATGATGGTAATGTGCAACTTCAAGGAATTTGGCTCACCGTCCCCATGCATCTGTCATTCACATCAACCCATACAGAGTCGGCCACCAGTTTAGGATCCTGATCTGTTCCCCTAGGCAGTAAATAAAAGGCCAGGATGCGGAAGGAGGGCAGCATCTCTGAAGTCACATCAATAGTGGTTACCGTGAGGTCACTTTTTGATTGATGTTTGGCATGCACAATCCGGTCCTTACTCAGGACCTTGGAGACAAGGGAGGACAAGCATAAGAAGGGTAAGGTCAACCTTTTCCTGAAGCCATCTCAGTTCACAAGGGAGACCCACAGTTCCTTTGCTTCAGCCCCTTAGTCTGAGGCCACCCCAAATGGTTCCCACCTTCACACCACTGTTCAGTTTCTCCAAACCAGCTAGCCAGGGATGTTCCAGGGAAATAATTCCTTGGCTTAGGTTTTAGTCCTAGCCACTCACCAAGATGGTGAAGTGAGTGATCTGTTTCTTGGTTTCAGAATTCTGATGTTCTGTGACAAGGCTCAGGTAGATGCTGCTGCCAACCTCTGCGACTGTCTTCACCTCAATGTGCAAGATGTTCCCTGACCCACCCTGAGTCGAGTAAGGCCAAGCCATCATATTGGCTGAAACCTGCTCTTCCGGCCGGAGAGGCTCATCAGTTTCTACCTGGGGAGAGTGACGGGCAAGTAAACTTCCAGCTCTTCCAGCTCACACAGCTCCACCATCCCTGCCCCATTAAGTTGGTACCAAGATAGGGAGCTTCTCCCAATTATTTGCATTTGTGTTGATGGTCAAAATGGCCCCTCCATTGGCTGAGGTGCAGTCTTGTTTGTCTTGGCATCGGACAAGGACTCTAGAGGCTGGGGACCCATCAGGATTTGAGACAAAGACCTGAGGTAGAATCAGGGGTGAGATGAAAGATAGGCCTGGTGGTGGCCTGGCATGAGAAGTGGGTACTGGGAATCTGATCTGGACAGGACTGCCTTGTATAGCTGTACAAGTTGTGCACTGAACAACACTGGGGACACCATTCATATTAGAGTTTTTATGAATGGCACCCCCTCAAGTTTTGCAGTGTGTAATCATATGTGATGGCCCTGGGTGTTGGTGTGCTGGTGGGGTGGAGGTGGAGGGAATTGGAGTGGAGAGATGTGGAGGGCTTGGGGAAATCTTTAGTAGGACTGGCACCAAAGGATGTTTCTAGTTTTCTTAATGTCCACCAGACATCTCAAAGTCACCCAAAATGAATGCATGTAAAAACAGCATGCTTGCCTTGCAAAAGTAGCCTCAAGATAACCCCCTGAGCACCACCTTCCAGCCTGACTGTGACCACTAAGCCCCCCACAGAGAAATTATGGAGTCATCACAGTGCTTTGGGGGGACCTGGGTTAAGACTTGAGAGAGACTTGGGATTGGTCTGGGAGGCCTGATGGATTCTAAGTTGTGGGGGACAGGTGAGTCCAGTGTGGGTTTTTGTCTCCTGAGAAGGGTCTATTAGGGGAAGGGAGCCCCAAGACCCTGGGTGGAATGAAGTCAGACTCTGACCTTAACGTAGAAGGGCATCCCAGGCTTGAAATACTGGGGTGTCCTGATGAACTTGATGCTGTATGGGCTCTGGATGATCTTCACCCCGGAGGTCTTAGCCTGGACCATCTCACCCCCTGGAGAAACAGGGGACTGTGAGGTCTGTGGAGGAGGTTCAGTTTCTTGGGGGAGTGGCAGGGCTGCTGGTATGGGAGGCCTGTCTTGGTGAAGACAGAGAAAGACAGTAACACAATCTCAGCTCCTTCCAGCCTTTCTGGCATTTTTGCATTTATCTGATGAGGAAATGGACTGGGAGGTGGCCCGTGGTCACATGGGTGGAATGTCTAGGTTGGGTAAGAACACTGTCCTGACCTCAGCCAGGAGCTTGGGTGAGGGTGGCACCTGAAGAGAACACGGTGACGTTGACAAAGATTGAGGCCCCAATGAAGTCCTCTTCTGGGCCTTGGAATGTGGACATCAGTGTGTCCTTCTGGAGGGAGATGTGGCCCAGACCTTCAGAGATCTGGTCTCAGGGTGAGAGAGAGAAGAGGAGATAGTTTCTTGGGGAGTAGAGGAGGGTTGATGGAGAGGGAAGTTGGTGGGGGAGAGAGGTCAAGACTCAGTCACCTCCACTCTCTGCAGGGAGCTCTGGATGGGCATCCGGTGGGAATGCAACTTCACCCTGAAGATGGCCAGAGCATGTCCATCCACTGGCTCTTTGAATACATACCTGGGGGTGAGTGGAAGGTCATTCCGTTGGCTCTGAAGCACCCACACAACTTCATGTGGTTGCAGAGATGTCCTGTATGACCTCATGAGGCTGCAGGGATGGTGGTAAATCTTTGGGAGGGGCAGAGTGACCCCTGGAAACTTAGATGGTTTCATTGCTCACCTACACAATGCTGGGAAGTGATAAATGTGTCTCATCAAGCTTCGTGTTGGGTTGCAGATGTAGCTTGTGCAACCTCACAAGATGGTGGAGGTAGCCCATAAAACCTCATCAGGCAGCCTAGGAGGCATGCATAGGAATGGTCTGCATAGTGTCGAGAAGTGGCAGATATGGCCCTTACAACTTAGGTGGACAAATGGTCTGTACAACCTCATAGTGCTGTGGAGACGGTCTGGACAATTCGTAAGGTGGCAAATTTGCCTGTGCTACCTTGTGGACCTTCAGAGATGGTCCGAGCCATGAGACATGGCATGGCTTTATTAGGTGGGCGACATGTCCTATACAACCCCAGAGACCTGAAGGGATGGTCTGTACTACCTACACATGGCAGACATGGTCTGGACAACCTCACAAAACAATGTAGGTGGCCAAGAATATCTCATGGGTGGCAAAGAGTACCTCTACCATACCTTAAGTGCCACAGAAATGGCCTGCTTCTCCACCCATTCAGTTTCTTGGCATTCCTGGTCCTCTGGCCAGGCTGGGGACAAGGGGACTTACCAAGCCTCGATGTCCACACCCAGAGCCTCATCGTTGAGGTAGAAGAAAGTCTTGTTTGGCTTCAGCTGGACCTCAAATGATGGGAGCACTGGATGGAGTAAAGGCAGTGGGCACCCTCAGTATTTTGCTGTCCCCCCCCTTGTCCCCTCCCTGTTGACTCCTTCCTCAGTGACTCTTGCAACCCCCAAAGATTGGAACACATGGTTCTGTTCACCAGCACCCAGCTTAGGCCCTAGCACACAATTGGTGCACCATGAGACCTCTTTTCCACTTCCAACCCTGCTTCTTGCATGTCCCACCTTGCCCTGCCCATCACACCCTGCTCACCATAATCCCTGACATCAAAGGCTGCCTTGAACTTCTGCTTGGCTGCACTTCGGTAACTGGCTTCGATGCTCCAGGTCCCAAAACTGAGACACAGAAAATTCGGAGAGATGGAGACTGAGAAGGACAGCCTCCATCCCTCCATCCACAGGGCTCCCAGCAGGGCACCTGACAATCTGTGGGAGTTTAAAGGATCTTGTGAAGAAACCGTCCTCAGCTAGCAGATTCTGGCTGATCACAGTGATCCCCTCCGGGTTCTGTGGGGACAGGGGGTGGGTGCTTCATACCCCAGGCCTTCAGCACATGATATAACCTCAGTGTCTGGGATCCACTCTCCCATCAGGAGAGGCCACCTTGATGTCCAGAGTGAATATCCTGGTCACAGGATCCATCTTGTGGTCCACAACAAACACCCGGTATTGAACTGGAGGGAGAGGGAAGACTCTGAGTTCTGGGTAGAATCTGAAGAGGGAGGTAGTCGTTAGGATCTTGGGTATTAGGATATAGGGGTCTTTGGACAGAGGGTGACCTTGGGAGGTGGAATATGACAGGCAATGGGGGAGACTGGGAATGAGAGTCAGCATCTGCCCTAGGCCAAGTGCCTGGGGGCTGTACCCAAGTGCTCAGGGGTGTAGATGGGCTTGTCTGTCTGGATGAAGATGTAGCCAGCATGGGGAGCCACCGGCACTATCTTCTCCATGAATGAAGTGGTCGAGGTGGGTGCCCAGGTTGCCCGGATGATGACATACTGCTGCCCTGGTTGTGAGGGGTATATCAGGCTCTTGGGAATCTGGGGAGAGAAGCCCACACTCCTCAGGCTCTGCTGAGGTCTCCATCCCTGGGAGCAAATCCCTGAGCCAGATCTTGGGAGAAACAATTGAGTGGGGGGCGGGGCCCTCTGGCTCTGTGGTTGGGAGCAAGGTTGCCTTGCAGGTTGCTCCTGCACAAGGACATCCAGCCAAAGTGGGAATGCAATCCAATCCACGGTCAGCTTCCCAAGCCACCAGCAGAGGGCGCCTTTTATTAATTCTCACAGAGACATCATCTGGGCTAGTCACTGCCCTTGTTGGAGCCCGGACTCAGAGGACTTTGGATTTCTAACTGGACGGGACATAAGAGGAGGAGTAAGTATATCCAAACCCTGCATCTCTTCTCCAGTGTCCCTCGTGGGAAGTCCCTCTAGAGTCTGCCCCTCTCCATCCTTGCTGCAGACCCAGAGCCTCCCTCTGTGGCCACCCATCCTGGCCTGTCACCTACCGTCACGGAGGCCTGTTTCATAAAGTCGTTTTCTTCTGAGAGAATGAGGTGGCTCTTAGCCATCACTGCCTTCTTCATGGGGAAGTCCCATATGGTGAGGTTCACCTCGAGGGTCCCTTTGAGGGACTGCTGGGAGTCCGAGTGAGCCTGTACATGGATGGTCTCAGGGCTGCCGACCCGCAGGGCTTGGTGGGGGGTCACCAGGATGTACCTGCCAGTAGACAAACACAGGAGCATGGGGGCGGGGAGGGGAACTCAAGTGGGGGAAGCAGCAGCAGAGAGGCAGGCTCACGTGCAGGGAATCATGCAGGCAGCAGCTGAGTGCCCTCCGTTTCCCAGACTCACAGTGGCTCAGCATGGGCAAGAGGGGTCCCCAAGAGGAGTAGAATCAACCCCACGAGCCAGGGCACATCCATGGCGGTAGGGGGCTGACGTGCAACCACAGGCCACAGACACACATCCTCTTGTCCGCTCTGTTTGCCTTGGTCTGTCCTGGCTGAGTTAATATCTAAACAGATGTGGGGAGGGAATCCCCATAAATCCAATGGGGGAAGAGGGGGGCTGCTCCTCCCTTCTCAGCCCATCCTCCACGGGAGGCTGGGGACAGCTGCACTAGGAAGTATTCCAGTCCCCCCTTGGAAGCCAAGCTCTCTGGGCTCCTTTTCCAGAAGGCAAATTATACATATGAAACCAGGGACAAAAACACATCATGCTTGAGGCATTCCTGGAAGAAGGCTTTCTCTGTTCCGAAATAATTTTCACTGCCTGTTTAATATGCCCTTTAAAGATGTTGGACCAACTTTGTGGCCTCTGCCTCTTAGAAGCAGATGGGTTGCCGACAAGTTTATCTGGTTCTTCTTCTTCTTCTTTTTTTTTTTTCAGTGAAGCCAATACTGCTAGCTTGGAGAGTCTTGCTTATTGGAAAGCCCCAGATCTCCCTGAAACAATGATAATATACATTTATCCTACAAAGATTCATTAAGTATTTGCTATGAGCCCAGCCCTCCTAGGCATGCTGGGAACACAGCAGTGACCACGGTAGACGAAATCCCTGCCCCTGTGGAGTGGACATTTAAGGAGGACTTGCTAAGGGCTTAAGGTGCATTTCCTCCTTAAACCTCACAGCCTCTTGTTAATTAGGATCAACCTGTGCCCTCTTTCCAGACTCTACCTTTGTAGAGAGCTGGAAAACCAAGTGTGTTAGAAACAAAAGGGGAAGGTGGGATCTAGTCATTCATTCCTCAGGTATTTACTGAGCACCTACTGTGTGCCAGATGCTATTCTACATGCTCTATGTGCACTGACAGAAGAACCATAAATGTCCCACATTTATGCTGAAGTAAGAATTCCCACCTATTGTACAGATAAGGAAACTGAGGCCTGCTGAGTGAAGGCAACTTGCCCTGGGTCAGGCAGGGAGCCGTGAGGCTCCGGGTGATGCTCTTGAGTCCATGGTAAACAATCTTTTGTGAAGCAAAGAATCAACAGAATCAAATTAAGAGCTGGATCAGGGAAGCAGATGAGACCTAATTTGGAAGGTTCTAGAACATTGGTGTCTTCTTTGTTTTTTGGGTTTTTTTTTAAAGATTTTATTTATTTGACAGAGAGAGATACAGCGAGAGAGGGAATACAAGCAGGGGGAGTGGGAGAGGGAGAAGCAGGCTTCCCGCTGAGCGGGGAGCCCGATGCGGGGCTCGATCCCAGGACCCTGGGATCATGACCTGAGCCGAAGGCAGACGCTTAACGACTGAGCCACCCAGGCGCCCTGGTGTCCTCTTTGATGTTTCAGCTCTGTCTCCCTGCTCTGTGGGATGCTCTGCTGGTGCAGTTCAGTCCTCCCTTAGCGGGGGGTGAGCTCCCCCCTTCACATCTTTGTCCCCACACCAGGTGTCTACATCCCCCTCTCTGTCCCAGGGGCTTCTAGGTGTCCAGAACAAGGCATTGTCCAAAAGTGTGGGATGGCAGGGGTTCTAGTCTCAGTCCCTCCCACCTTCTGTCCAGTCTGGACTCCCTCTCGCCATGCCAGTCTCTCTGTCTCCCCAGTGGGAATCCTGGTCAGGTAAGCACATCTGGGGCTTTGAAACCTGCTCAAGCCTGCAGCTTCTTTGAGTTTCAGTTTTGTCTTGGGGGTGGGCCCAGGAAGGGAAAAACAGAGGAGGTGGGACACACTTTGAAAACAAGGTGATATAGCTTTATCATCCGATGAACAAATGGATGGAGGCGAAAATGGGTGCTGGGTGAATGAGTGACAGGAGCTCACATCTCATACATCTGTCCCCTCCTCCCCACCCCAGCCTCAGCTCCCCTAAATGAAGAATAAGCATTTGTTCAATAACTAATATATAAAATAAGTTTGAGCGCCAGCTGCATGTCTGGCTTTGTTGTAGGTGCTGGGGACACAGAAGTGAACAGGACGGAAACCCCTTCCTCTGGGGAGTGGGTGTTTACTGTAGCTGCCTTCACCGGGACTGTCTCTTTTCACCCTCTCAGGGTTCTAATGACCCACTGATCCACTTTGCTGATGGAAAAACCTAGGCACCAGAAAGTAAAGTGTCCTGCCCGAAACTGCAGCTAGGAAACTGAGGCACAGGGAGGTTAAGGGACTTGCCTAAGATCACACAGCAAGTTAAGTGAACCTGTGTTTGAGTGGGAGGAGGAGTAGGGGGTCGCAGACCACCTGTGGGATCCACCCAGGTCCCCTACACCAGTTAATGGTCAAGTTCAACCTTTCGCACTTGGCCGCGAGAGGGCGCCAGCGAGCCTCCAGCCAGACTGAGGAGCGCTCGGCCTCCTCCCACAGGAATGCGGGTGGTGGAGGGAGGGGACGTTGGCCGCACGCCCAGAGCAGCTGCTACTGCCGCTCAGATCCCGCCCGCCTTCCCCTCCCTGGGACCCCGGGTTTGCAGCAAGCAAGCCAGGGCAGGAGGGACGGCTTTGCAGGGATGTGTGGCCTCTGTTTTCGCTCCCTCCTCCTCCAGGCTTCCAGCCCAAAGCTTCCCGGGAAAGGCCGGACAGGATCCCGGAGGCTAGGAGTCATACCCATAGCAACATTTCAGTGAATGGCTGTCATATATGAAACAACTAAGTCCCGGCACTTAGTAGGGACTTTCTCGCCAGCAACCCTTCCATTTTACAGGTGAGGAAACCGGAGCTCAAAAAGGTGACGTTTCTTGCGTCTTAGCGTGGACGTGGACGAAACCGCCAGGATGTGCCCTGCTTGGTAACTTCCTGTCTGAGCCCAGGCTCCTCCGGTCATTTCTTGGTCCCTGAGGGCGTCTGATCACGCACTTGTTTTCCCCAAGGCTTCAGGAACTGCCCTTGCTGGTCCCTAAGGGCATCCATCACGTGCCTTCCCTTCTGGTCCAAGGAGGTCTGGCGCTCAGTGAGAATTTTCAGGGGAAGCTTGTTGCTTTATATGGGAGGAGGGAGAGGAATTCAGCAGTCACGTTTGGGGGTGATTATTGGGTCTGAAAGCGGTGTGATATGCGCTCCAACAGAACTGACAGCCTGATCAGGGAAAACTACCCCAAAATAAGCAGCTATGAGGGCCCAGAGAAACCTCCTAACCCATCCAGGCTGGGGAGTCAAAGAAGGCACCCTGGAGGAAGCGGTATTTAGGCTGAGACCTGAAAGTCTTAGGAAAGTGTGGGTAATCAGGACAAGGATTAGGGGTGGGAGACAGCAAGATGGTTTTGTTTCAGGGGGAGGGAACAGCCCATGCAAAGACCTGGAAGGGAGGTGGAGCATGGTGATTTGGGGAGTAGTAAGAAAAGGGTCTTGAAATCCTTCTTCTTAGGCCACAGAGAGTCTCATTTCGATGCATTAATTTACCCACTCATTCTTTCATTTGTCAGATATTTGGATATCTACCTCGTGCCACATACTCTTGTGGGTGCTGGGGATGTAGCTGAGCATACGACAGTCTTCTCCCCATGGAGCTGACATTCTAGTAGGGGGAGAGAAGCAAAAACCAAATAACTAGTATATGTCAGGTGATGAGAAGTAAAGCAGGTTCAGGGGACAGAGTGACAGGGTACTATCTTGTGGCCTCTCTGAAAAGGTGAACTGAAGAAAGGAGCCATGTGGCTATCTGGGAAAATTGTTCTAGCAGATGGAGCAGCAAGTACAAAGGCCCTGAAGTAGGAATGTGCATGGAGTATTTAAGAAATAGTAAGGAGGTCGGTGTCCCTAGAACAAAGTGGGTGAAACAGAGAGAGTGGGAGATAATTTGAGATTAATATTCAAGGATCAGATCATGTAGGAGGCCTCATAGTTGTGGATTTGAACCTAAGTAAGAGGAGAACCATTGGAGAATTTTTGAAAAGATGAGTGACATTATTTTTCTGTTTTAACAGAATCAGTCTGGGTAGGTCCTTTGTTACTCTGATTTGAAATCCAAAGGTAGCAACAATACGAAGGGTGAATAATTCCATGACATAAATAAGGCAAAATGACACCACAGGAATGTTGGAAATAATAGGGGAAAAGTGCACTTCAAATTACAGTCTCCCTAATCTCCATAATATGTAAAGGGTTTCTAGGAATTAATAATAAAAATATAAACAATCCAATAGAAAAACTTGAGCAAAATGTGTGGTCAGAATGTTCACAAAAAATGAAATACAAAAGGTTCTTTGGGCGCCTGGGTGGCTCAGATGGTTAAACGTCTGCCTTCGGCTCAGGTCATGATCTCAGGGTCCTGGGATCGAGTCCCGCATCGAGCTCCCTGCTCCTTGGGAGCCTGCTTCTCCCTCTGCCTCTCTCTCTCTCTCATGAATAAATAAATAAAATCTTTAAAAAAAAAAGTTTCTTTGACATATGAAAAGAAAGTCAACTTCACTCATAATAAGAGAAATGCAAGTTGAAATAAGAGAAATATGAGATAGTAATTTTTACCCATTAGAATGGCCAAAATGTAGAAGACTAATAATGTGCAGTGTGGTGAGGTTGTCCATGCTAACGTATGGACATCAGTCCTTCCCAATAGAGATGAATTTGATAATGTTCATAAAAATGACAAATACATAGTTACTTTGGCCAAGTAATCCCAAGACAGAAATACTTGCACATGTGTGAAATGATGTATGCAAACAAGGTTATTCATACATAATAGGAAAAGATTGGAGAGAGCCCAAAGATTCATCAGTACAGGACCAGTTGCATGAATTATTGTCCATCTACACAATGGAATATATTGTAGCTGTGCAAAAGAATGAGGATGTCTGCTTGGGCTGATATGGAAATGCTTCTAAGACATATTATTCAAGGAAAGAACTAAAGTTTGCATTTAGGTATATAGTATGCAGCTTTTTGTGAAACGTTAAATAAATACATATATGTATATACACATGTGTAGATTCATACATATTCTGTTTTTCCATTAAAATACTTCATATTTATTTTTTAAATT